TGATTTCTTTTCCCAAGAAGATTCACTGCCTCATCCCACCCATATGGAAGAAGGAATGGCGGGAAGGCAGTTAGTATGTATGCTCTGCTTTAACCAAAGCCCTGGGCCTGGCAAGAGACACTCAACCACTAAAGTTGTTTGAGACCATGGGAAGTTGTGGGGATTAAATAACATATATAGTACTTAAACAATGCCCAACACATAGTAACACGTCAATAAAAGGCTGTAAATATCTCTAAGGTGGACTAGGAGGAAACCAGTTTATTATGAACCATTCAGGCTGGACAACTTTCCCTGTTAACCATGTAGTTCTAACCAAGTCCTATTTTAGAGATAAGAAAATTCTAGCTCAGAGTAACTTGACCAAGGTCACAGAGCGATTAAGAGGGACTCGTGCAGGGCTCCTGGGTGGCTCAGTCGGTTAAGCGACTGCCTTCAGCTCAGGTCATGATCCTGGAGTCCCAGGATCGAGTCCTGCATTGGGCTCCCTGCTCAGCAAAGAGCCTGCTTCTCCCTCTAACCCTCCCCCCTCTCATGTACTCTCTCTCTCTCTCATTCTCACTCTCTCAAAATAAATAAATAAATCTTAAAAAAAAAAAAGAAAAAAAGAGAGACTCGTGCAGGTCTGTCTGATCCACCCCTCCATTCCCACTGCTCCACATGCCCTCTGCAGAGGTGCTCCCAGGCCTGAGTCCAGTGAGGGAAAGCCGGTCCTGCAGCCCTTTGGGCTCTAAGGCTCTGGTCCTCCAGTCTATGGTCAAGATGGTAATAGTGCAGAGGTAGGAGTACAGTGTGGAGAACGTAAGTGGTGTTAAGAAGCTTCTAATGAGGTCTCAGCATTTGATTCTTCCCAGTAAGGTTTGTTATTCCACAGCAAAAAAAACCAAAAAACAAAAAAACTAGATCTAGCCCTGAGGAAAAGTAGATGATGATTAAAGTATATACAGATGGATTACATGGCTTCTTTATTGCAAAGCAAGTAGCTGTGAATTAAATGAAGAGTGTTGGGGCGGCTGGGTGCCTCAGTTGTTAAGCATCTGCCTTCGGCTCAGGTCATGATCCCAGGGTCCTGGGATCGAGCCCCACATCAGGCTCCCTGCTCCAAGGGAAGCCTGCTTCTCCCTCTCCCACTCCCCCTGCTTGTGTTCCCTCTCTTGCTGTCTCTCTCCCTGTCAAAAAATAAAATCTTAAAAAAAAGGTAAAAAAATAAAATAAATAAATAAATAAATAAATAAATAATAAATGGGGAGTGTTTAGACTGGGTAGGCACCAGTGTTTGGAGTTTACATTCATTTAAAGAAAAGACTTTTCTGTTTTATTTTAAAGGCTCATGGGGCTCCAGGAGGAGTAAGAGTAGCCTTTGAACACCTTCCTACTTTCAAACCTCATGAAGTTGGGTGAGTGAGGCTGAGTGGCCAGCCTTTCTCCTGTCAAACACATATTCCTAACCCACACATCGGAGCTAAGGGAGCAGCAGAGAGTTAGAATCCCAAGAATGTCCCTCCTTCTGCTTCTGCACGGCTGCGGCTTTGGGCAAAGGGCCACGGAGAGGAGACAGTGAAAGGACACCAGGCTTCAGGCCTTAGCCAGGATTCAGGCAGAGCAGGCTCAGCCACTGTTCCAGAGCTGGGAAGCCGAGCACTTCTCAAGCTATTCCACCGCTCTCCTCCATCGCTCAGAGGTTCCTTGTCAGCTTCCCCAAACTTGTCACTAGTTGGGGCTGAGCTTCCCTACCCTGAGGCAAACCAGCTGTTCTCTTCTGCAACCTACCCCCTCTCACCCCCGGTCTGGGAAGGAATAGACTGTTTTCTGTGTTATTAATCACCTAAAAGCAGATGGGAACCAATCAGAAGACCATTCTGAGCAGTTTGGGCAGGAGTGTTAAAGAATCAGCGAATTCCCAGAGTTTTTCAAACTTCAGGAAATCAATTTAAGAGGGACACAGTTGGCATTAAGAAAAGATAAAACCTGGGGGTGCCTGGGTGGCTCAAGTCGATTGGGTGTCTGACTCTTGGTTTCAGTTCAGGTGGTGATCTCATGGGTGTGAGATCAAGCCCCTGCATCATTGGGCACCATCAGAAAGTTTTAAGTGAAAAGAGGTACAGATGATCAAACTTGTAGAGAACAGAGAAAGAGCTAGAGAGGAAAGAGATGAGAAGTAGAGAAGGTAGGAGGCTGTTAGAATAGTCCACGAAAGAATGATGGGGGATAAATCAGAATACTGGGGATAGAGATTTTTACTAAAAGAGATTTAGGAAGTAAAACTGTTAGAACTTGGTGACTATGTGAAGGTAGGAGAAAAAGAAGGCACCAAAAATGGTGCCTAACTGAGTACTATGTGGTATCCTGGCCTATATTCCAGAACAGAAAAAGGACATTAGTGGGAAAACTGGCAAAATCTGAATAAAACCTGGAGTTGTTAATACTAATATACCAACCAATGATGGTTTCTTAGTTTTGACAAATGCACAGTGGCTATGTAAGATGTTAACCTAAGGGGAAACCATGTGAGAGGTATAAGGAAACTGTATTATCTTTGCAACTTTTCTGTAAAACCAAATTTATTATTTCTTTTTAAAGATTTTATTTATTTGACAGAGAGAGACACAGCGAGAGAGGGAACACAAGCAGGGGGAGTGGGAGAGGGAGAAGCAGGCTTTCCGCTGAGCAGGGAGCCCGATGCGGGGCTCGATCCCAGGACCCTGGGATCATGACCTGAGCCAAAGGCAGACGCTTAACGACTGAGCCACCCAGGCGCCCCTATTTTATTTTTTATTTATTTATTCATGAGAGACAGAGAGAGAGAGAGGTAGAGGGAGAAGCAGGCTCCCCGTGGAGCAGGGAGCCCGATGCGGGACTGGATCCCAGGACCCTGAGATCATGACCTGAGCTGAAGGCAGACGTTTAACCGACTGGGCCACCCAGGCACCCATTAAATTAAGCTTATTAAAAATAAATGATGCCAGGGCATCTGTCTGGCTCAGTTGGTAGAGCATCTGATGCTTGATCTCAGGGTTATGAGTTCAAGCCCTGCACTGTGTATAGAGATTATTTAAAAAAAAAAAAATGTCTAGGTTTCTGGCTTGGGTACTTGGGAGCTAGGTGACTGTTATTATCTAAGATGGAATGCTGTAGAGGAGTTCTGGAGGGGGCAGATGGTAAAGCTCAGCTTTAGACATGATATTTGATGTCCCTATGGCTGGAGGGTAAGCTACTTAGGAATAAGTTGATCTGGAGCTCAGGAAAGAGATGTGGGTTGGAGAAAAGAGACTGGTAATCAGTGTGGCCTGGTAGGCTTACCTAGACTGCCCTGGGGACACTTAACATTCAGAGGCAGAGAACCATTTCATTCCTGATGAGGCGTGGATACAAAATACCAAGTTTACCAACAATTATATACTTACTGAGCACATACCGCATGCCAGGCCCTGTTCGAGATGCTTTACATTACCTCATGGAATCTCGTAACTATCCCCCATGGAATAGATGCAATTTTGACCATTTCACAGATGGGAAAACCAGGAAGCAGGACAGCCTATATTTTAATAGTAGTACTCAATTGGGGCAAGCATCAGAATCACCTGTGGAGCTCTAAAAATTGATGTCCTAGAAAGAGATGCAGGAATCCAGCCAAAAGCCCAAACCCACGCATATTCATCATGGTACTAGAGGTTGAGCCAGCTGTGGTGATATGAATCATCTCTTTACCCCATTTATCCAATGATCAATTTCCTTCTTATGGTATAAAGCATCTACCACTGGTTTATCAAAAAGTGTATGACATTCTAATCTGATGTTAACACAATACTGTTAGTACAAACGTTCTGATCTGTAGATAGCATCTTAGAGAGATGTTATTTTACTTCAGATAAATAAAAAACCTATCTGTATCTGGTATTAAGAGTAGCACAGAGGTGGATAAAGTAGGCCTTATCTTAGTTTAAGACCAAATGGGGTTTGAAGTTTGGTTGCTGGACTAGCAGCAGCAGCATCAACTGGAAATGTTAGAAATGCAAGATCTCAGGCCACAACCCAAACATGTAGAAGCTATAGGGGTAGAACCCAGCAAGCTGTGTGTCAATAAGCCCTCCAGGCTCAAGTTGAGGACCACTCTCTAAAGAAACTTCCACCCAATGGTTCTCTATCATGGTTGAAAATAAGAATTACTTGGGAAGCTTTAAAAATTATTCCTATGTCTAGGCCCCAAACCTACTTAGTTAGAATCCGGGAGTGAGGGGCGTCTGGGTGGCTCAGCCAGTTAAGCATCTACCTTCGGCTTAGGTCATGATCCTGGGGTCCTGGGATTAAGCCCCGTGTCGGGCTCCTTGCTCAGCCGGGCGTCTACTTCTCCCTCTCCCTCTGCCCCTCCCCCTCTGTTTGTGTTCTCTCTCAAATAAATGAATAAAATCTTAAAAAAAAAGAATCTGGGAGTACAGCCTAATCATGTACCCAAAAAAAGAAAACTCCCCAGGTGATTCTGATACAAACATCCAGTTAGGAACCACTCTTTCAGTGGCACTAATCAAAAAACATCTACATTATTCATTCCCAAAAGCTAGATTAGGAAGTAAAACAGGTATCTGGTTAACTGCCTATAGTACATCAATTTAATAGAATAGTACACATCTGTCAACAAGAATAAGGTAGCTATATATATATATATATATATACACACACACACACTAATATAGCATAATCTCCAGTATAGTGTTAAATGAAAAAAACAATACGAACATTTAAAAAAATATTTTTAAGAGGGGATATGTGTGTGTGCATGCATGCATGTGCATGCTTCATATAGGAACAACTTAGATCTTAAAGGATAGATAAGAAATTAGTAGCTGAAGTTTCCCCTGGGAAGGGAAGCAGGTGATCAAATTACAGGCAAAGGAGAAGTATTTTTTACTGTGTAACTACCTTGTAATTTCTTTTACTTTGTAAATTTTTTTACTATGTAATATTTTACTTTGTATCATTTGCATTTTTTACGGTTTGTATCACCTATTCAAATTAATTAATTTTTAAAATGTTAAGCTTAGGGGCAAAAAGAACCACTGCTTTAAGGGAATGAGACATTAGCAAGCAAAGATATATGAAAAGCCAGACGGGAAGGAAGCCGGGCAGTGAAACAAATGTGGGGCTGTCAGTTGCTAAAGGGCAATTAGAGCATTAATGAAGGGAAAGGGGCAGAAGGAAAAAGTCTTGGCAAAAAGTCCAAAGCAGATAATCCTCTCTTGACATTTCTGTCCTGAGGTGATATTAGGTAAACTGAGACTCAAACCAGAGAGCTCAATTTATCCAGATTCAGCTTTATTCTGAATTAACCATCTGTCAAGAATGCGTCAAAAGCGTAGAAAAAGATGAAGGAGCCCGTCAAAAAAGTTCCCTGGCAAGTGGAAGGGTCGGCATAAGGTTAGGAGCCCTGTTTAGGGAAGGAAATGCTGTCCAGGTCATGGATGCCATTTCTGTCAATGATTCGAACACTGAAGGTTGGCAGATTCAGGATGAAGCGTTTCTGGAGCTGCAGAGAGACATGAAGACAATCAGTCAAAAAATATTTATTGAGCACTAACTATGGGCCAGGCTCTCTTTGAGGCACTGGGCATATAAGCAGATAAAAATCCCTGCTTTTGTGGAGCTTATATTCTACTGAGGGCAGTCAGTCCTCAGACTGCAGCTGGAGGCCGGGGGACAGTGAGCAAGAACTGGGAGATGCAGCTTGCAGCTTGTCTCTGGTCAGTCAGCTGATGAAAGAGTAAGACCAGTCTAGGCTCTATTCCCCACAGCCTGCTACCAACCAGTCTGGCAAACACAGACTTCTTTTTTAAAATGTCTCAAAATAGTAAGCCAACAAAGGAGTGATTGCCCTAGGAATAAGCTTTGGACCAAAGCAATGTACTCCTACTTCCCAAGAATTTGCTCCAGTCACCACCACCGCCCCCCGCCGCCCCCTGACATTATATAAGGCCCAGGTGTATGTAGCTAGTGGCATGGTGGGAAGGATGTTGGCAGAACTGCTCTTGGAACAACCCCTACTTCTGACTCCTGCAATCCAAGCCTACCTGTGATTAAAATAACATCTCTGCACCTTCTTAAGATTCTCTGCTTGAGAGGCTGTTCCAAAGGAGCTGTGGTCTACATGCATGGAAGCAGACAGCCCCCACTAACCTGGCTAGAGATTACCGAGGAACACAGTTGGAGGAAATCTATGTTTCTGTGGCCACCCTTCCTGGACACCTCACTTAGTCTTCAGACAGAAGACATAAAGCTCTCTACTTGCTCCCTTAGGAGCATATCCCGGAGATGTCCACCTGCCTAGGCCTAAGCCCGCCCTCCCATATTTCCCATCTCCTTTATAGCTGAGGACTGGGCATCAACAACCTATTCCATTTCCTGAGTCTCTTCTAGCTGATGACTCCTATGTTCAGAAACAAGCTCCAAAATCAAGAAAAGGTGACAATAAGGAAGGGTTTGTAAAATGATCATCCTTAGGATCCATGGTGAGTAAAGTCTCAAAGCACTTGATATGCCAGTGGCTTCTCCCTAGTGGCCCCTTGTAACACTTAGGACTGCTGGACTAATATGGCCTCTTAGCTGAATGGTTAAGGAAAGCACATGAGTTTATTCTCAGCTTCTGCTTTGGAAAGAGGATTTGCAAACAAGAGAAAGAAGGGGGCACTGTGGACTGAAAATGACAGGACTGTATAAGAGGCAAACTGACATTATGCCCAATGCTCCCACCTGCTTCCACCCTCCTACTCTCTCACTAAGACCACAAATTCAAGTTCACCCCTAGGCCACAAAAACAGCAAAAGAATTACAAAGCCTAAGGGAGCTGCTTTCTCTTCCTCCTCATCCTCCATACGGACCCCAAAGGCTCTTAGAGGAGTAGTACGGTCCGTGCTCCTGGCCTCGTAAACTAAAGGCTACTCTCCTCTTCTGCATAAAGCTTCCTAGTTGCTTTCTATTGCCTCCTGAATTCTCAGGGAAGGCTTTCTCTGCAGGACTAATGCACTACGAGGGAGCAGACAGTATGGCAACTCCAGGCAGCACAGGAACAGAGCAGGTATCAAGTCTAGGGCAGTAGTAGTTCTGAAAGTATGGCCCAGTTACCACTGCAGCAGAATCACCTGGCACTGCTAATTACATACTCAGGCTCTACACCAGGACAAATGAATCAGAATCTGGTGGAAGTGGGAGTGGGATAGTCAAGAATCTGCTTAAAAACAAAAGCAAAAATAAATAAGCCAAAAAAAAAAAAAAAAAAAGCCCCACAGTTCCCTAGATTATACACACCAAAACCTGAGAACCACTAGTCTGGACGGACCCCCTCTCCCCGAAAGTAACTAAATTGTAAAATTGACATTGATGAGGAGGAAACCCATGAGAGAAAAAAAATAAGCTTGTTACCCACCAAACTCTATCCCTGGTAGCAACTTCACATCTGGTTAGTGGGTATTTATTACACCTTCTGGCAAAGAGCAGAAAAAATGCAACCGAGGAATGGAACAATATTGGCAAACAGAGATAAACATTCCTTTCAGGATCCTGTGGGAGCTACTCACCTCCTCTAGACATTTCCTAAGAAGCTCCACTGCCCTCTCACGAGAGATAGCTGAAAGAGAACACAGAGGCCACTCACTCAAGGTTTTGCCATTAGGTCCAACTGTTAGCCACAAGTTTTACCTTTCAAACTTCTTCAGGTCAGTATGCCACACAAACGGAAACGGCAAAAAAATGCCTAGCCTTCTAGTTTGCAACAAACCTACTCCATATGCAGTGGAAGGTGCCCCAGACCCAGTGCTCTGACAGCCACAAGCCATTGCAAATTGATTTGCTACAGAGAAGGGTAAGCATGACGGAATTCTGCCTCCCATGGCCAGGGCCTGCCTCTAGAGAAGTCCAGCGGCTTGCCTCTTTTTTTATAGCCCATCCCCCTCACCCCTACACACACCCCAGCCCCCGCTTTTAGACCAGGGCTTAAATCAGTTCCATCTGCCCTAGCCAGCTGCAAATCAGGGAAAGGGAGGACAGGGCCTGAGTTTTAGCCTCACTTTCCCAGCTGGGTCTCCGTTTAACAATGGAAAGAGAACTCATGCGATAGGGCTGAGACTCATAAAATCGGAGCCAAAGGAACTGCCCACAAGCATGGCACACTGGGATGACATATTATGCAGTTAGGCTTCAGGGCTGGTGGGTGGTGATTTTGGTGGGCAAGTCAGCTGTACTCCTGACAGATGCCAAATCAAGAAACAGTCCCTAGGAGGCCAGGCTAATTCTTTTCAGGATGTGGCCTAGAACGCTGGCATGGCTAAGGCTGAGTGAGAGGGCAGCACCAAAAAGAGTGGAGAAGCCAGATTTTTTCCTGTACTGACAGGGAAGAATGGAATTTAAGGAGAGAAGTGGCTATGTGTGTTGCATCTACAGCCTGTAAAAGTGACAAATCCCAAGTGCTTATTGCTCGCAGTGGCGAAAATCAAGGTTGAGATTGGAGTCAGAAGACAGAACTTAGCACAAAAGCACTACTGTGCTGGAAGCTCTGCCAAGCTAACAGTCTGACAAGTAGAGAGCCAGCTGCTTCTTACAGGAGGGGCAGCCATGAGGTGAAAAGAACCAAGGGAGGGGCCCAGGCTTGTGGCCTTCAAAAGCTTTAACATTTAAGCAAAGAAATCCTCAGTTGTCATGCTGGGGACCTGTTCATCCTCACAAGGTCAAAACAAACACACAAACCACTTGGTTTACTTGCTCATTCTTTATAGCTGAGATGCTAACAAGCATCCAGGCAGGGCAAAATGAGTTAAAAAACTGAAAAATTAGTTTTACTCACTACTCCAACACCCTTTAAAACAAAACAAAACAAAACAAAACCCAGCTCTGGACATAGGCAGTATCTCCTTTTGTCTGGCAAAAAAGGGACTTTTATTAGCCTTTCAATAACCCTACTGACCTGCAGGGGAGAGCAGCTTCCCAAGGTACCTGGATGTGCTTCCTAGGATCCATCCTCTATTCAAGCCCTGACCACCAAGGGGTAGTGTACAAAACCAGGAAGCAGCTTAGGACAGGACTCTACTACTACTCCCTACCTAGTGTGCTAGAACTTACTTGGTGTATAGTATCGGTCCAGGATACTGAGAGTCAGGAAGGCACCATAGCCATGGGCTGCAAAAGGGGCCTTGGCCAAGGCTGCCAGGTAGTCCATGTAGTAGAGCGCTGGACCCTCATGCTCATCATAGCCAGCCAGGAGGAGGTTGACATGATATGGGGTCTGCAAAAGAAAGACACGGTCAAAACAGTAACACCAACATCTCCTTCCATGACAAATGGGAACATTCCAATTCTTGATGAGTAAGAAAACAGCAGCAGCTAAGTAAATCATGATGAAAGTAAAACTGAAATAAATCTAAAGGTCCGAGAGTATGGTAAGAGGTAAAGGGAGGTTGGCTTCTTTTCTCTGAATGGAAGAGCATTAGGAGCACTTTAAGGTATTAAAAAAACCCTGCTTTCTTCTTAAAGCCTATGGACAAGAACTTGTTACAAAAGCATTTCAAAGGCAAAGAAAGCATTGGTGTTCCTGTCTTTCCTAACTGCTGAAACCAACAAACAGTTCTGAGAGTGTCAGGCCATAGACTAAAGAAAGCAGCAGCCCCAACCACATCTTCCAGAATGAACAGGTTCAGTCTGGGCACCTGGACCAAAATCTCAAGTGGTAGACCGTACGCCCCAGTATTAAAGAAACAACTCTTGGGGTGCAGAAGGATAGTAGGTGTCAAAAATTGAAGTCAAATCACTAAACTTTTTTTTTTAATTTTTAAGTAGGCTCCACGCCCAACGTGGGGCTCAAACTCACAACCCCTAGATCAAGAGCTGCATGCTCTACCCAACTGAGCCAGCCAGGCACCCCTCAAATCACTAAACTTTTAGTGCACATAGTAATAATGGAAGTCCATAAATATGCTAGAACTGTGGAAACATAGTAATACTAGAAGAACTATAGTTTTAAGTGAAATGCTAATAACATTTTTCTCATATAACAAGGCTCTCCTAAGATAACTAAAAAGTAACTTATATCAATGAGACAAATATAAAGTAATTAACAGGTATCCTTTCTTTGTATCACCAGCAAATCTAAACATGTAAGTTTCTACAAAGAACCTTGACTATATCTGCCTTGCTCTTCATCTCCAAACGGATGCTTATTTTTTTTTTTCGACACCAGCTGGGCTGTTCACCATGTTAAACTGAGCCTGTCTAGGCCCCTAGGCATCAGCGGGGAGACTCCCATTTTACAGGGCTTCCTTTTTCACTGCAAAATGTGTTTTTCATCTTACATTTGCCTCAGTGGGTAGTGAGCAGGCCTTGCTCAAGGTTATGTGCCCCTATATTCAATTAAATGCATATTAAATGAAACTGAATATATTTACACGCCCTTTTATAGAGCCTAAAGTAGTAACAGCTAGTGGTCTTAAAAATGACATCTCACATTCTTTGAACAATGATTAACATGGGCACTCGGAAGCTTGAAGAAACTCAGGTGAGAAGAACACCTGAAAATATTACATACTTACTGGGAACTCCAAGCCAGTTGTCCTAGTAACATTTCAGTTCCTAAAGATACAGAGTAGCCCTAAACTGCAAACAAGTTTCTGCCTTGGGGATAAGACGGTGGATGGTCTGAGAGGAGGAAGAACTGAGGAGCAGTAGTCAAGTCTTCCGAGAAAATAATTACCTGCCTGTCACATTTCCTGGTGAGCAGTGTGCTACACTCTGCCAGGCTCCGGAACTCTTTGCCACATTCTGCAACTATGTTTTTAGTAAGTCTGACCTTAGGCAAGACACTTAACCCCTATGAGCTTCTGTTTCCTTATGTGTAAAACTGGGTTAATTAATCCTTCGCTTTCTATTTTCCAGGGAGTATGGTGAGAAAAAATAATAGAGGTGAGCATCCCAAACTCTGGAAGAAAATATGCTACCTAAATTTCCTAGTATATTAGCCATACCCCAGTCTCCTTTCAATAGCTTACTACTTTAAACAAAGACAAAACTGTTTAAATTAGCTAAAGATAAGAATATTTATCTAATAGAATTTTTTTTCTGAGTGTGAAAACAGTACTGTAAAATCAGGCAGACATAGAATACCTTCGTGTTGTTACGGTTAAAAGTGGAATAGCCAAGAGGAAACAGAGAGAAGAACGAGGGGCGGAGGGAGACAGAGATGGCAGAGATGGGGATTCTAGCTGGTTCTCCTCCCCAAGAAATTTCATAATGAAGTCTCTTACCTATCACAAAAAAAGTTCATCTTTCTGCTAAGATGTTAACTGTACTATTCTTTGTTCACGGGCCAAAATACCCATATGGTCAACCAGAACAATTTTATCACGTTGCAATGGTAAGTTAAGGATCTATTCAGCTACCCCGAGAAGTCTAAGCACCAGAACCCAGATATGTTCTGTCCAGTGAGGGTCTGGCCTGTACTCTGACATTACGCTATCCTGTGTTTAAAACACGTGATTTTAAAAGCCACCACCAAAAGATTTTACATGAAACCGTATCAACAGAATTTCAAAAACAAACTGTATCGCTTAACTGGTCCATATAATATCATTTATTTATGCTGAAGCATCTGATACACGCACTCATCAAAGTCGGTATTCAGAAGCCACAACACGTGGCAGAGAAGATAACTCACAAATTATTGTGTGACTCTGAATTACCAACTTTTGCAAGTGTGAGATACTCAAGCATAAATAAATGGTGTTATCTAGACTAATTAAATCAATACATCTGTGTAACAACTTGCAGTTTCTGAAATTCTTCTGACAATGCTCCATCAAAGATCTCTGGCTCACACTAGTTTTTTAAAATTTCAAATAAAGTCTTGTATACTGTCACTCCTGCTCCTCTCAGAATCATGGTGTTCAAAGTGATAAAGCCATAGTTATGGGTTTCTTGACTGTTACAGTCCCTCAGATTCTTGATTTCTTATCACTTTCCTGGAATGAGACAAATTCCAAGCCTTTCAATTTTGTGCTATTCTGACCGCATACACATGTGTGACTGCTGGTGGTATGTTTAGGGAAATACTTATGTGTAAACTAAAAACCACCTATTCAAATATTTATGCCAATTTTAAGTACCATGAAGGCAGGATTATGTATGGTTTGTTCGATGATATACAAGCATATAGTACATGCTCAATAAATATTTGCTGATTGAGTAATAATCATACCAGAAAGCATTACACATTTTAATTTATATGTGGCTAATGCCTAGTATCACAAGATGAGGAAAATCACTAAACAAATGTCAGAAAGTGATAGGTCATACTTCCAAGAATTCACTCAAGTCTAAATAGACTGCCAGGGGCGCCTGGGTGGCTCAGTCGTTAAGTCAAGACCTGCCTTCGGCTCAGGTCATGATCCCAGAGAGCCCGGAGTTGGGCTCCTTGATCAGCGGGGAGCCTGCTTCTCCCTCTCCCAATTCCCCTGCTTGTGTTCCCTCTCTCACTGTCTCTCTCTCTCTCTGTAAAATACATAAAATCTTAAATAAATAAATAAATAAACAGACTGCCAGCATCTCTCTGAATGCCCACACATTGCTGCTTTTTGCTAGACTCCTAGGTCCTTCTCTTTCTACCTCCCTTCAGACATGGGCTGCTAACTAAGAAAAATTGAGGATACAGGTCAGGTATTTAGAATTGAACGAAGGGGGAATAATAGCATAAATAAGTATCTTAGGAAAAAATAGCTGGGTTACACTATATAGTTAGACTGGAGTTCAAAATCTGGCTGTCTTACCAATGTGTGGCCTTAGAAAAGCTAGTCATTTAACTTCTCTGAATTTTAGTGTTCTCATTAAAAACAGGCTAAGACCTACACAAAAGAGCTAAAGTGAAGACCGAAAGAGATAATGCATATAAACAATAAGCATTGTGCCTAAGACATAATAAAGACTCGATAAATGCTAAAATTATCACTAGAGAAACACAATCACCTATGAAGTTCACAGTGCCCATGAAATACACTGGGCAAGTACTCAGGAGAAGCCCACCTACTCCTAGCACTGAAATATAATTCCTCATATATGGCTTCATAAAGGGACCTGGAAGAATGTTAATTAACAAGTGCCTAGCACACTGCCTGACACATGGGAAAAATGCAATAAATGACAGTTTCCTCCTCTCCCCTTCCCAGACTTTTTTCAGGGGCCCCAAGGTGATTGTATTCACTGTCAAAGACATTCACAAGCATCTTAACTTAAAGCATATCCACTTCACAGCCAACCTACCCTAACCTATCTTGAGACTGATCACAGGCCTGGAGACCTAGAGATCTTCTGGAAGCCTGAAAAAATAAAAACAAAAACAAACCCTACATGCAGACTTGGAGAGTAAGTACCATTTACTTATTTATTAAGTACTTTCATGCAGTTTCTGCCGCTATAGATATGTCCACCTCAGTGCCAGGTCTCACTTTATAGCTACTTTTTCATCAGTTCCACTCTATCCCATGATCAGCATTCCCTGTGAGAATCTGCCAATTATTCCGGCGAAATAGGAATACTAATCAATCATGACAGATTTGCTAGGAAACCTCTGTCCTTTACAAAGTAATCCTTGTTTTGTGCATGATAGAATCTAGTCTTTGGTTGTCACCATCATTCTAATTATTTAGATAGCAAGTCTAAGTAATGAAACAGTTATGAAGTCCCCGAGGCAAGGAACTGTATCTTGTATGTCAAGGCATCCTTCACAACAAAGGCTAGGACTGAATATTATATACAATTTTGAACTAACCTAAACATCCAGATGACCAATAAATGAATCCAAACATTTAGATGAGACACTCTCTGCCCAATAGCCTTAAGGATCACCATTAATGGTTTGCAGTGCTAACACCAAAATGCTTAGTTTTAAAGTTGTATATCTAATTGATAGACAAAAAATTTAAATGAACCATCCTGGTAACTCAATATGAATTTTAGCTTCTAAAACAAGGTACCACCAAAATTTTGCCTCTTTTTACAAGTAGGGGGTGGGCAATGCTAGACAATGACAAATGTGCTACCTTTTCCTCCCTTAAAAAAAAAATACACGATGGGGCGCCTGGGTGGTTCAGTCAACTAAGTGTCCGACTTTTGATTTCAGCTCAGTTCATGATCCCAGGGTCCGGGGATCTAGCCTGGCATTGGGCTCCCTGCTCAGCAGTAAGTCTACTTGTTGTTTTCCCTCCATCCCTCCCCCTGCTTGTGCTCTCTCTCTCTCTCAAA